AATCGAACAATGTTTATATGGTCCGGGAACTACATTGAAAAATAAACATCTTTTAATCATTATTAACCTTGTGATCAAACCAAGCCCCCTGGGTCCTTTGAATTTTTTTTTTTCAGTAATTTTTCAAATTCGGAAACAATATTTTAATACGGAAAATTTTTTACATTTCACAATTTTAGAATGAACAATGAGATTATAGTACCCGATTCAAACCATTAAAAGTTTTGGCCAAGATAAAAAAAGCGGCATGTGATTATTCATGTGATATCAATATATATATCAGATAATGCATATCTACAGATCATATCACTCTCGTGAACAAACAGCTTGTCCATTATTTCTCAATATATTAAAAAAGGAAAAAAGATTCCTGCATTCCTAGAATATTTTGAAAATTATTCGATTTATTTTAATTATCCAAGAAATCCAATTCCAATGATCCATGAAGAAGTTTCTCTAAGTAATTTTTGTAATCTTTGTAATCTTTAAATATTACATAATTAAATTATAATAAATTCAAATTTGGTTATTTATTAAATCATCACGTTACTCAATAAATTATGTATGACTTAATGATCATGTAAAGAATTGCCTATCATGGAATCAGCGAGAATTATCAATGACTTAATCCAGGATTTATTTTTGGCAGAAATTAGCCACGTTAATAAGAAAAAATAATTCCTTTATGTGCTATTTATAATTATCTATATTTTCGTGACAATAAAAGATAATAAAAAGAAATTTTGGTTAGAAACGCGTTGATAAACTTGATATGTGAACAATTTGAGGAGAGAAAATGTAACCTTTTATTGCAACTTAATACAATATGAACTCAAAAAAATTCACCTTTGACCGTCATAAATAGGAAATTCTTTGATCAAGCACAATGACACACTAGAATAGAGTTTTTCATCCTATTATATCATAAATACTACTCCTTCCCATTATCATTAATGCACTCTATCGATTCAATACTCTTTGCCAGATTATTTAATATTAAAAATTTAAATCATCATTGAAAAATCCAATCAGCTTGAAACTTTGGTATGAATATATTCGCTACGAAGTCTCAATATAGGATAATGAAACGATACCTGGGAAATTGATCTCTAGGTTTTATGGCAATTTCCAAATGACCAATTCATCCATAAAATTGGGTATATCAAATTTCATTTTTCTTTACGACTTTTATTTTTTTTTTTCCCCTTCTCTTGTAAAGTTTTAATCATCTCCTTTTCCGAGTATTTTTCAATATTTTCAGTATATTTTCTTCTACTTAATTTTTTCTATTATTTATTATTGAATTTTTAAAAGTTTTT